ATATTTATATAAAAATATATATACAAATACTTGAATGTATGTAACAACAATTGGACCCTCACAACAAAACCTAAATATATTATTTATGAGGACAAGTGTTACTATTTCCTCCTCAAACTTCTTCCCATGGAGCACAAGAAATGTAGTCAGTAGAGGCTATTTCTACATGTGCCCCATTATAAAGAGCATGTGAATACTGACCTCAATTTGATGAATATTTTTTCCTTTTAGCAAGGGACTATCTGGTTTCTTCCTTTCAATTGAACTCATTTTAGGTGAAGTCAGAAGAAGTCTTTGATGAGTGGGTATCCAAACTTCGTCACCATAGAATGTATCGCCAGAATGAAATCGCCATGTTTCCACATGAAGTTAATCACTTTTTCCCAGGGTCGACTGTCACAGATTCTGCACCTGGGACATTTGACTCCATTTCTAATAGGAAGGTAATAAGTGTTTTGCCAATAATTAACATGAAAGGGGAATAATGAACTTTGAAGAGGGAGGACCATCTCAAGAGCTAGGTCTCAGGAAGGGTTTGAGGGCAGGAACAGGGAAGTTGGGCTGGTACTTAATTATTCTCTTTGTCCAGTGAGTTAGAATCCAGATGAGATGAGCATCTGTTAATGGTGTGAGAGTATATAAGGAACAGCTCAATATTCCAGATCTCTGTAGCAGTCTTTTGACCAGTTTGACCTTGATTTTCTTACCTGGTTGTAAAATGCAGTACATACATGTACAGTCATTTAGGATTGCAGAATATTTTCAAACGTTTATATAATTACTTTGGTATTACCATTTGACAGGAAAAAAAAATAAGGACCATCAGCTGAGGTCTTATAGCATAGTATGGCCAAGGTGGGGTGACAGCCAAAGATATAAGGGCCTCCTGTGTGAGATTTTGCTAGAAGCTTCTTCCCATTATGGGCAGATGGTGTCTATTAGCAACTAACCCACTCTATTATCCTTTACCCTAAAGTGTCCCTACTGGGCTCTGTTTTCATTTATAATGTGCTCTTGTCATCTGTGGAACAGCGTAGCAGTATATCAAAGCAGAATTCATTTCAAACTGGAAGCAATTTATCATTTTCTTGTGGTGGAGAGACACGAGTTCCTTTATGGCTACAGTCTTCAGAGGATATGGAAAAATGCTCAAAAGGTAAGTGGCCAGAAACCTTGGCTTCTTTCTGTCATGGCTCTGAACTGATGCTGGTTTGTTTACCCTCAGATGAATTTGTGACCTTCCCTTCTCTAGTTTCATTTGCTAATATTCTGTCTCATTTGCTAATAACCTATATTCTGCTAATTAAGGTTGCACTCATTGCCAACAAAAGACACTTTCCTTTCAGACCTTTTCATCCTTGCCTGTGTGTCCATGAGACAGGTTTGCTTTTCTAGTCTTTTGAGTTTGATACCTAACTTCCACCTGGGCCCATGAATCCGGGTCTCCAGGGCTTTGAACTGCATGGTGCTCTCTCTTTTTATAAGTGCCAAAAATGGTTCTGATGCACCTTCATGATTAAGAATTAGTGTTCCAGAGGTGAATGGGTGACCAAATAGAGAGGCCCACAATGTAGGTGTTGACTCCCTTGGCTGCACATTAGAATCATCAAAAGAGTTTTAAAATGCAAGAATACCTATGCCTGGGTCTCTCTTCAAAAAATGTTCTTTAAATTAGTCTGGGGTGGGTGCCTGGTGGCACTGATTTTCCAAAGATCCTCAGGTGATTTTGATAGGGAGCCAACATTGAGCCTTCCTATCACAATGAATCTCAGTGTCCTTAAGTTTAATTAGCTGAGACTCATCCAAAAAAAAAAAAAATGATCACCAGTGGGACGGGGGAAGTTCTGATTTAATTGTCTAAGGGTGGGACTTGTACATATGCAATTAAAAAAAAATGTTTCCAGTTGGGCATGGTGGTGCACACCTTCAATTCCAGCAACTGCTCAGGCTGACAGAGGAGGATCCCTGGGCTGGGGATATAGCTCAGAGGTAAAGTGCCCCTGGGTTCAATCCCAAACAAGAAAAAAAAAAGTCTCCAGGTGATTTTAAAGCAATAATTTAGAAAGATGTTAGGTGTTATCCTTGAAAATTGGTTTCCATCTTGTTGAATGTAGATATTATTTCTACTGAGCCATGGATGCTGGAGGCTTTACCCTTCCAATAAACACCATTCGTGAACTTCCCTGAGTGATAGCTTGGTGAAGTGGTCCCTAAAATGTTGCTTCTGCACCAGCAGCATTGGCCTGGCAGGGAAACTTATTAGAAGTGCAGATTCTCAGGCCTATCCCAGATGATCTAAATCAGAAACTGGTGGAACTCAATAATAGGTGTCTTAACAAGTTTCCCGTTTTTTCTGATGACACCAAAATTTAAAAGTCACTACCTAATTCCTTTGGGCCTTAATTCCCTCAGCAAAAATATCCATAAGCATCTAGTAAACAGCCAGTTGTGGGCTCTTTTAAGTTACTGATCAGGTCTGAGAGTACTCTTCTATCATGTCAGGTCCAACTGCAGAAGCTCTTCGTTATCCTCATTCAGGTCCATGATCAACACATCCATTTAATATGTATTGGGTCTTTACAAGTGGGTATCAGTATCCTATTATTGCAGGATTATTATGCTGGGCTAGGTTATATGGCTCAGCGGTAAAGCGCTTGCCTAGCACGTGTGAGGCCCTGGGTTCGATCCTCAGCCCCACATAAAAATAAATAAAATAAAGGTATTAGGACTGGGCTTGTGGCTCAGTGGTGGAACGGTTGCCTAGCACACATGAGACACTGGGTTTGATCCCTGGAACCATATAAAAATAAACAAATAAAAGTGTGAAGATTTTGTGTTCATCTACAACTAAAAAAAATTAAAAAATAAACAGAATAAAATAAAGTTATAAAAGGATAAATAAAGGCATTGTGTCCAACTACAACTGAAAAATAAATATTAAAAAAATAATGCTTGGCTGGGGTTGTAACTCAGTGGTAGAGCACTTGCCTCAAATGTGTGAGGCACTGAATTCAGTTCTCAGCACTGCATATAAATAAAGTAAAGGTCCATTAACAACTAAAAAAAATTTTTTTAAAATAATAATGCTGCTGGCTGATTTATTTTGTTCATACTATAGGCCATCTGAGTACTCTGCATGTATCAGCTCAGTTAAATAACTCTGTCAACTAAGTGTGTACTGATTCCCAGTCTCTAGATGAGGAAACTGAGTCCCAGAGCAGTAAGTCATTTGCCCAAGAATCACAGTTCATTAAGTGGATTCAAACTAAGGCAGCCTGATTTTCCACTAAAGTCTACAACCTTTCCTGTAACAAAGGAACTAAAGTTTCCTACCTGTACAGATAGAAACTTTAATATACAAAAAGAACAATCTCTGGTGCCAGCACAGTGATCCCTTTTGCTGGTAGAAAATTGTAAGCATTCCCCTTTTCTTCCCTCACAGACCTGGCACACTGCCATACTTACCTGGTGGAAATGAGCCAGCTGCTACAAAGTATGGACGTCTTGCATCGGACGTACTCGGCTCCTGCCATCAATGCCATCCAGGTTAGCTCAAGCCCTCCTCTGTTCGCCTTCTGGCTTCTGCCTTCCTTTCTCCTCCCCAGCCTTTGACTAACAATGGGTGTTGTCTGGCCAGTTGCTTGAGCCAAACTCAAGGGGATGGAAGTGGTCACTTTGCTGGGCATTTATCCCTATTGGTTTGGTGGACCTTACTGTCTGTCCTCTCTTTCCTGTTTTGAAACAAAGGGTGGAGTTTTTGAAAGTCCCAAAAAGGAAAAAAGATCACACAGGAGGTGGCGGTCCAGAGCTATTGGCAAAGATGCTAAAGGAACGCTGCAGGTAACCATTACTTCCGCCAGCAAGCTGCTTTCCTGCTGGATCTGCATGCCATGTGCTGGGGCTACTTGGACTTAGATAGAACAGACAAGTGAATGCTCTGGAGTTGTTCTCTCCGATACTGCATGTTGAGACATGAGCTCATCGCTTAGACCCTCTGAATAGTAGTTTAAGCTTGTAATGGGTATTGGGCAGGGGAGAGAGTGTTTTCTAAGGGAAAATGGCATGGAGTTGGAGGGACTGCCACCATTTCTAGGACTTTTGGTTTTTCCCCTGTAATGTTTAGCCTGCCTGCCCTCTTCTTGCTTGGGTGTGTCCTGTTTTTGTGGCTGCTGTGACTCCGTGCTTTGACTCACCTCTCCTGCTGAAGCTCAGTGGATTTATCATCCCTCTGAACCCACAGGCCTCAGTCTCTGAGCCCAAGACATTGTTGGAGCTCTCTCTTGCTATTTTTCTCCAGACTTTCAGTTCCCCACCAGAAATTCACTGTGTCATTCTAGGAGCTGTCTTTTCCAATGCACAGCTAAATCACAGGCCGAGATTTGCATATTACATATTAAATAGCATTACATTTTACATATTAAACGGCAACATTGTTAGAATAAAAACAAATCCTAAGCTTTTGGATCTGATGTACTCTTGTATATACTCTTTGGATCAAAGCACTTTATATGTTGAACTTAAATATTTTCAAAGTAAAGAATGTTCCATGCACACACGTGAGAAGCTAGTATGTTTTATAGAAGCCCCAGTGCAAATAAAGAAGAGCATTTTAAAACCTATTCATTATTAGCATCTAGTTGCTTGGTGATGATGGCAGGAGGGAGGAAGGAACTGAGTATAGCTGTCATTTTCAACCCATAGCTTTAATACTTCTATCATCTCCAAATGAGTATATGATTTTTTTCACCCATTTTTATTTCATAAGAATCAAGTTGCTGTGGAAAGTTTTCTCCTGAGTTTTTATTTGTTTTTCTTCCAAGTTAACACTCAGTAAGTAGGAAGACTTCCCTAAAAAATGTTCTTTCCTTAATAGGTTCCAATCTTAGAATCAAGCACATGTTCTGAACAGTCTGCATCTGAACCGAAATCTCTCCCTTTGGTGTCACTTTAGGTCCCTAAACCTTTTTCTGGCCCTGTAAGACTACACTCCTCCAATCCTAATCTGTCAACACTAGATTTTGGAGAAGATAAAAATTATTCTGATGGTTCTGAAACCTCATCAGAGTTTTCTAAAATGCAGGAAGATCTGTGTCATGTTGCCCATAAAGGTAAGTGAGCTTTCCTTCTTTTTAGTGTGTTTGATGAATGTGTTCGACACATGCCTGAAACTGGAATGTCCTTGGAGAGCGTGTCATAGTTGGTTCATTTTCTGCTCTATTAAGAACCTGAGCAACCTAATTTTTATTCATTTCCTTGATAGTGGAGGTGTATTCGCATGTTTCCTTTTAATCTCTTAGAAGAGACAAGGAGATTGTTTGCTATAGAGTTGACAGAAGCCCTAGATCCAACAAACTGAAAATATTTCTCTAAAAAAAAAAAATCACAGCTACAGACTTTTTTGTCATTATTCCCTAAACAATGCAATATAAAACTATTTTCCCAGCATTTACATTTATTAGATATCATAAGTCATCAAGAGATGCTGTAAAGTATACAGGAGAATGTGATACTAAGGAATGACATATTCTAAAAGCTGGGCAGTTCACTTTTCTGGAGCAAAATATGATATTATGCTTCAAGCATTTTTTAAAATATGCCTATCAAGCAGTTTTACTTTGAAGAGTTCATTTGTAGCAATTAGTTAACTTAAAATTTATCCAAGTAAGACTATCCACTATAACACTATAGCATGTTTCTTTGAATCAAGAGTTAGAAATGGGTGTTCAACATCTTTAGCTATTAGGGAAACGCAAATTAAAGTCATTGATGAGATAACACTGCACACCTATTAGAACAGCTAATTTTTTTAATGCAGAACCAAATACTGGTGAGATACACAGGAACAGAATCTCTTATATATTGCTGGTGGCTGTATTAAATGTTAAATGGTGCAGTGCTCTGGAAAGTAGTTTGGTAGTGTTATGTAAAACCAAACATACTCACCATACAACCCAACATTCACATTCTTGGGTGTTTATCCTAGAGAAATTAAAATTTATGTCCATGTAAAAACCTATACTCAAATGTTCAGAGCAGGTTTATTTGTGTAAGCCAAAGACTGGAAACAACTCATTGTCTGTCAACAAACAAACTGTTAAACAAACCATGTTACATCCCATAATATAATGGAAAACTGCTGGGCAATAAAATATTTAAATCTCTGTTGCAGAGATGAGAGACCAGAGGCTTAGAGAAGCTAAAGGAGGATCTTGTGATTATAAAGTAGCCAGCCTGAGACTTGAATCCCAACTTGCCGGACCCCAATTTATATGCTCCTTACTTATAAGGGTGTTTCACTGACCTTACAGGAGGTAGCCATGGTTAATTTTTATAGACATGGAAAAGATGCCCACAGTGTGTCATTGCATAAAAATGAAAGGTTACAAAACATTGTATAGGTATGGCCCCATTTTTCAAGGAAAAAAATTGATATATGCCTGGCATACATAGGTACACTAAAAATTCTAGAAGTGTTTTCATAATGGAGGCTGAAATTACAAGTACTTATCATCTTTTTTCTTTAAATTTTCATACATTTTAAACTTTTCTTAAAGAGAAAACATATTACATTTTTAAAGTAACCCATTTTATGTTTTTTACAGATTCCTCCCTCAGATCCTATCTTATTCACCACTAGAATGTCTCAGTGTTTTAGAGGATAAAATTTTTTTTCCGTCTATAATTATTTTGCTATTATACAGTCTGTCTGTAAATGTGAAGGGTTGCCTGGCCCACCCCTTAAGAGCTTTTTAAATGCCCCTTGGGCATTTTTTAATATTTAAAGAAACAGTTACATTTAGAGCATTTTAGGTTTATGGGGAGGAAATTCTTTTAAAACATCATTACTTTTTAATAATATGCACTGTTTTAAATGAAAAGTCGATGCCTCCCTACTGCAGGGAAAGACCTTGGATTTTATCCAGGTGGCAGAAGCTGCTCCCTTGTCAGGGCAGAGGTTCTGTGTAGAGTGGCTCCATTCATCTGGTCACCTGATCACCCATATAATCTCCACATCTCTGAAGGTCTGTAATGGACCCCCAGCCAGCTGTCTTTGGGGGCTCTGTGAAATCAGCTGGCTGCAGAGTCACCACGTACCTCAAGGAGGTCAAAGTTAGTGCTGCAAGAAAGGTCTAAGTGGCTTATTCAGCAACATCCTCATCCCCTGGGCTGTTGGACTGTGAGTTGCACAGGCAGCCTAAGGAGCTGTGTGCATTCACACTTGCAGGAAGTCTCCTCCGTGGACCCTACTTGTGGGACTTCAGGGAATAGACAGCTCTCAGATTTGCTGGTAGTCCTCTGACTGACATGCTTTTCTGCTTTCACGTCTTCAAACTCAAGCATCTTGACCTGTCTTCCTGTGTACGCCTTGTTTTGTTACTGATGGGGCCTATTGCTTTTTCTTTGCCAGCATCCCTGTTCTAGGGGGCTAATTTTGAAGCAGCTAAATTCCATTGATGTAACAGTCTATGTGACCTACTTGTCAAATGCATCTGAATTCTCCTGGTTTTATAGACCAAGTGGAACCCAACATATACCTATCCTATTATTTAAAGTCCTTGTTAGACATGACAAGCTGTGAACTTGATTTTTTGATATATTGTTGAACTGATACTCAAAGTTCAAGCTTCAGGCTTTGTCTGTTGACACCTGTATAAGCAAACAGATGAAAATATACCAAACCTAAAAGCCATTATTTTTCTTTCATATATTAGCTTTTACATTTCCCAAAGTGTATTTTATGAAACACTTTACCCATAAAATGATTAAAACTTCAAACAAGAATTGAATGATTTAAAGTGTTTGGAAAATACGGTTCCCTCTGGATTCACAGAGGGAAACCTGAGAAATCCTACAGCAATGAAACCTGATTTTTTTTTTTTTTTTTTTTTTGGTACTGGGGATTGAACTCATGGGCACTCTACCACTGAGTCACATCCCCAGCCCTTTTTGTATTTTATTTAGACAGGGTCTCTCTGAGTTGCTAAGACATGATCCTCCTGACTCAGCTCCCTGAGCCTCTGGGATTTCAGCCACCACGCCCAGCATAACTCAGTGATTTTGAATGTTATTTGGGAAACTCTCTACTCCCCACCAGCTATTAACAACCCGGAAATAAAGTCCTTGGGAAAATACTGTAGGAAGCACGGTGACTAATAAGCCTATACTGACTGAGCAGGCCACCTCTGTTACCAACCACCTGTGCATTCCTGGTTTACCTTTCTGCCCTCCTTTGCTTTATCTATTAAGTGTTCTAAAATAGCAGTCCTGACTCTTCTATCATTGTCTTCTATGATTATTTTATGCTGAACAGAGAGAATTCACACCGTTGCTTACTGTTGCAAGGTTTTATGAGAGACTATTCTGTTAGCAGCAGAGACAGAAATGGCCAAACTTGGTAAAAAGATTTAGGGTGAGAAAGCAAGGAAAAGGATGGGACTAGAGTCAGGGTTCTCCAGATGGAAGTGGATATTCATGCTCTGCCATGGAAAGGAAACAAGACTTGAATTCTTTTCCAAGAGGTGAGGGAAATCCTCATTTATAAACGTAAAAACTTTGGGCTGAGGCTGGGGCTCAGTGGTAGAGCGCTTGCCTAACACGTGTGAGGCATTGGGTTCAATCCTCAACACCACATAAAATAAATAAATAAATAAAATGTTAAAAAATTAACTTATGAGTCATCAAATAAGCCATAATAAAAATTAAGAAAAAAATGAAAAGCTAAAGCACAAAATGAAATTACATTAACTTATTGTTTTATTCCTGGAGTCTTTTCTTGCATTGAGTTGTAATTGTCATTTTCTGAACTGTTTTAAGTATATGGATGCCAAGTATGCCTCCATGATAACTCTTTCATGGATTAAAATGTATTATTCATAAATTAGAATTCAGTATAAAGCTTGCTGAGCAATTATATTCATGTACTTTATCAGTAAATCAGTTAGTAAAATTACCTAACGTATCTAAGTCAGTTTGGATGGAATATGAATTAGAAAATATTTTAGAACCATGGATATCCTATGAGGTTTGAAACTTAAGCAGATTGCAGAAGATTAAATCATCCCAAATATTTTAAGAATATTAATATTTTAGGGACCAGGGCTGTAGCTCAGTGGTAGAATGCTTGCCTCACACCATGAGGCACTGGGTTCGATCCTCAGCACCACGTAAAAATAAATAAAGATGTTGTGTCCATATATAACTGAAAAAATATTTTTAAAAAAGAATATTAATATTTTAAAGATAACTCAAATAAAAAAGTGGTTTCTATTAAAAAGAAAAATAGTCTTACTGTGTGTTGAGTGTTGATAGTGTGTTTTCTCATTGTTTCTCTGAAGCACTCCTGAGATATAGGGATTATCCAAATATATAGGTGTGGAAACAAGCATTTGTCCAAAATCTAAACAGCAATTAAGCATTAAAGGCAGGATTTAAGTTCATGTTTGCCTCATTATAGACTCTATTTCCCCAGTCTCACACTGCCTCTCCAGGGGTGGTGTCCATTGCATTCATAACTGTGTTCCTCAAGATCTTATTCCTTCCTGATGCTAAAAAACTGCTAAAGAAGGAACATGTTAAGAAGTAGAGCTCTCAGATCAGCTGTTGCCACCCAAATATGCCATGTAGTATAATCTCACCAATAAAAGTCCAACTCACTCAAAGTACGACACAGAAGCCTGTTGCAAGGGGAACAGTGCTGACCACCAAGGCTCTGTTGTGTGGTGCTTGTGCTGTTCTGCTCTGTGGGTGCAGCTCACATCACCCACTTATGCTTAAGTCTTACAGCCAAAAGTCCCACTCTCTTAGTCCAGCAAGGGGGGCTGAGAAATGGCTAATGATAACCTGGGGGGAGAAAATGAATAAACCGAAGTCCCATAATTGTCTTCTGAAACTTGAATACCCCACAAAAAAAGGAAGTGGTCCTGTTTTGCAATGAGAAGAAACCAAAGCAAGTGTCTTAGGAACAGGAGGGACTAAGTCCCAGAGCAGAATATACTTGCTTCAGAAGATAGCAAGGACTCTGAGAAGCGTGGGCCTGTAGACCACCTGGCAAGGTCTTTGTGGGTGGGGAGGGACTGTCATGCTCTGGTGTAAGTGGCTCTGGTGCTCTTTGAGGTTCTTCGTAATTCTGTCTCAGACTTTCCATGTGGCTTTGTTTATTAGTGTCCATAGATACAGTATTCATTTGGATTTTTATTTGTCTCTAATATACTTAGAATCAAGTTGGAAATAAGACATTCCTGTCACAGGAAATATCCCAGGCCTTTGGGATCCTGTTCCTTTGACAATTGACTTAAATATGTCCTCCATGAGCAGCCTCAGGTCATTGCTCTGTGTGTGCTACATCATTCAGTGGCTCTGAATGGCTACTTTATCATCCTCTGAGTGGACCTTAATGGTCATTTAAGAAATGTAATGCAGAGGGATCTAGTCTCCTGAACCCCTTTGTCAAATGATTGAGGAAGAGATTTCCACCTTACAATAAAATATAAAGAGTATATGAGTTCCCTTCTGTTTATTTTATGCTGCTCACCACAGTCTTAGCTATACATTTTGAACCAAATAGTGCGTATTCTGCAAGTTTCAAAATTTTAGAAAGGAATCTTCTAGTTTGGTTGAAAGTTTTGCTTTGTAACAGGGCATATAAAAGCCAGAAGAATTGATTTAGGAAAGTGGCAGCCTGCTGAGTGATACAATTATTTTATTTGGAGGAATAAATGTAACAGTGAAGAAACAGCCACTCCCCTAACTCCTAGGGACCTATTGAGAAGGTCATGGGGCTCTTCCATGATGGGGATGGGGATGCTTAGCCAATGGGACATCAAAATCATCAAATGCAGCGAGATCACAGCATGGCTTATTGCTCTCCTCCGGAGGCTGCTCTCTGGCTCAGTAGACTCTGCCCAGTCCCTCATTTATTGAATCTCTACTCAGTGTGCAGTTATTTGCAAGCATTTTCCTGGCAAGAGATATTCTGCTATAGCTGCTGCCCACATCAGGAGGCTGTATCACCACCACTTTTACCCTCATGGATGTCTCTTCATCGTCATCACTATTATTATTGCAGTAGCATTTATTATTTATCACATGCCCTGCTCTGGGTTAAGTGCCTTAACTGTATTATCTTGTTTGTCCTTATAGCAGTCTATAAAGCAAATGCTGTTATCATCCCCATTGCATGTGGGGAAACTAGGGTCCAGGCCTCATATACTTGTCTAAGGTCATGAAGTGAACAAGTGACTTCTCTCTTTGTTGATAGAAGCAGCACCATTTGTGTATGTGTGTGTGTGTGTGTGTGTGTGTGTGTGTGTAAATTGCTTTTTTGTATTGTGACTTTCTAAAGATGCTCTAAGTTCATCACTAAATGCACCACCTCAAACAAATTCAGAGAGAACACATAGATAGGTTCTCTTTGCTGTTCTCCTTGCTATTAAATGCAGAAAGTAAGTCAATAAAGTGTATTTAGTTTCTGTGTTACTAAATAGGCCACTCTTGGATAACAATACCTCTGAAAGTGCAAGCCCATGGAATCCAGTAAATGACAGGTCATTTGAGAAGTGTGTCTCCATCTCTTCCTTATTCCTGCCTCTCTAAAACAAAACATAATAAAGGACATTGGAAAGATAATATTCAAATGTGATATCCATGAACAGTAATTTAGATGACAATTTCCTCGTCCTTAGGAGGTAATTTGTGCATTATGTGATCAAAAGCTGATGGATTTTTTTTTTTTTTTTTTTTTGCTATATGTGTTCATGTTTTTCAAAAACTTTAGTTCAAGCATTTGAGTACCTAATAGGGCTAAAGTCCTGTTGTACCTAAATGATCTTGAAAGTGAACAGAGTGGCTGAGTGCCATAAGTTGAAGTGGGGACTCTGGTCCTGCAACTGTATTCTGAAATAATTTTCAAATTTCCAGGAAAGTTGCAAGAATAGTACAGAGAGCTCTCACATACCGTTTACGAGGATTTACCATTTTTATTTTGCCACATTTATTTTTATCACTGTCTCTTTTTATATACACACTTTTATTTTTTGGAAGCATGTGAGAGAAGGATTTATACATATGTCATTCTTTATGGCTTTATACTTTAGTTTAGGTTTCCTGAACATAGGGCTACCCTGTTACATGGCCACAGTGTAGTTATCTAATTCGGGAATTGTAGCATTAAAACAGCACTTCTTATCTATTCTGCCTTCTACATCAAAATAAAATGTTGTCAAAAGTTACATGTCGTTTTCCCCTTGGTGCAGGATCTAATCCATGATCATATATTGCATTTCATCTTCTTGCCTCTTTAGCCTCTTTAATTGGGAGCAGTTCCTCAGTCATTTTTTTTTCTCTTCTATAAAATTGATACTTTTGAAGAATGCAAGCCAGTTGTCTTACGTTTCCTCATGATCAAATCCAGATTGCTTACCCCTGGCTGACATTCACCAAAGAAGATGCTGTGTCTTTTCCAGGGTGTTCTATCCAGAGGCACCCAGAGCCCGCTTAACCCTCATTTTTAATTCATTGTGATCACCTGGTTAAGGGGATGTGTAGTTTCTCTGCTGCATTCTTACCATACCCAGTAAGCCTTGTTCTTAACCATTTCTGGTCTTTAGAGATTACAAACAAAATAAAACGAAAAACTGCTGGTCATTGAGAATCTGTAAATCAAAAAAAAAAAAATGGCAAATGTGCATATGTGTGTGAAGTTTAAGATTTTTCTTTTTTCACACAGTTTTAGATCCTTAGCAAAAGATATAAAGAATTCCCATATCTTCTGCCCACCTCCCATAAAGGCACAGCCTCCCCCACAGTCAGCACCCACATCAGAGTGGGACAAGTTACATTTGAAGAACCTGCATTGACAGGTCATTATCACCCAGAGCCTGTGATACATTGCAAATGTGTCTTTTAAAAGTCCATGTAGAGGATATTTTTTTCTGCACTCAAAATATTTGGGGCTGTTATTTGGCGAATTTTTTTTTTTTAACAAGAAAAACATTTTACCGTATTTTGTTTTCAATTATGCCACTTCCTTTATTCCTTCTCATTATGATTATATCTTTATAGTTTACTTCGCCTTAAGGTCAGCTTTTAATACCATATCAACGGAGAGAGAGAAACTGAAGCAGCTGATGGATCAGGATGCCACCTCCTCCCCTTCTGCTCAGGTCATCGGTCTGAAGCACGCTCTGTCATCCGTAAGTTACATGTCTGAGTCACAGAAATGCCTGCAAACGTGTTCTGGCTTGTCAATTATTATATTTTCCATTTCCATGGTTCTGTTGAAAATTCATGATTTTCATGGTTAGGTTGAAAATTCAGGAGAAAACCAAGCAAATTATCCAAATTACATTCTGACCTTTCCTGAGACAACACTTATTCAAAAATAACAAAATTTACCCTACCCCCAATCTTAGTAGCTAGTATTTTATTGTGTGTTAGATTCCTTTAGTTCTCTCCAATTTATCTTAATTTTTCTGTTTCTATAAAACTCTTGTTGTATATTTGTGTGTGTCTCACACATTTGTTAATGCTTACAAAATCTAACAGTTTGGAGGAGATTTTGAGCACCCTGAGACACCACAAGCTTAAAGTAGCTTAACACATGATAGGCAACAGAGACAAATTTCTAGTTGACAGTCTTATCTTCTCTACGGCAAAGCACTGATCCTATTTATTGCTCTTTCAGAGACACAAAAGTTATTTTATTTGATTACATAGTACAAAACATTTAGCTCTCCCCCCCCCCATGGGCACAAAGAGAAGAGTCACACAGGAGTGTCTGTCAGGTAATCATGGTGAAAGGAAAGTGTAACAGAAAAATCACTGTCAAGGCTTCAGATGTGTTTCAGTAAGCCATTCTGTCACTCCACTCTCCTTTTTCTCATCCACTTTAATTCAAACCTCAGCATAGTTGGGCTTGATTGATGTGCTCTGTTTGAATAGCTGAAGTTGTCTGGCCCTCCACCTGTATCCATGACAGCTAGAGAATTTCTGAGACTGCACACTTGTATGCTCCGACTCTTCGCTCATACTTTGAAATTCCTGCTTGAAAATGAGAAAGTATGTGTGCACATATGAAATTACCATCTGAAGCAGATTCGAGTTTTCTATTTCAGGTTGGGTAGGGAAGATGAATTTTAGGATCTTGTTATGAGATGCTGAGAGAAAATGTCCACTCATATTTTCTATTCATTTTGTGGCTAAGAAAAGTAATGTTCTTGATGTAGTGTTAAGGACGAATCCTTTGCCATTAGTTCTTATAATTAACAATTCAAAGAATGCTATCTTTGGAAGAAAAAGTAAAAAGAAAAAAATGATATTGGCTTCAAGTCTTAGTATTATTTTAAGGTCAGAGAAGCACATCCATTTGGATCACAGTGAATAGCCAGTCACACAGGGTTCCTATTTTGGTTTGAGAGCAGCAGAGTGGTTTTGTTTTATTTTATTTCTTTTCTTTCCTTCCCTTCTCTGCTTTCTTAGTGGTACAAAATACTTCTTATTGTTCCCATTAGATTGGCTCTTGGTGCACTAAGTGCCTCTTATGGGTTCCTCAACATTCCCCCCCCACACTCATCTCCCTCTTCCTGGCCCCCTCTCACAGAGTCTGGCCTCATCTTGTTAAATTGCTTGTATGGACATCAAGACATACCTGGCCATAGTTTCCTGGACCAAAGTCATTTTCATCTTTGCTAAGGAATTCTCTTTCACCCATGTTCACAATTTTGGAAACTTAAGATCAAACAGGACAATCCTTTTTTTCCTTTTTGTCTTGGATTCCTGATTTGATCCAAGATTTTTTTTTAAGAGAGAGAGAGAGAGAGAGAGAGAATTTTTAATATTTATTTTTTAGTCTTTTGGTGGACACAATATCTTTATTTTTATTTTCATGTGGTGCTGAGGATCGAACCCAGTGCACCATGCATGCCAGGCGAGCGCGTTATCACTTGAGCCACATCCCCAGCCCCTGATCCAAGATTTTTTAAAGTAATTGTTTTTTAAATCATCTCAAAGCTATCAGAAAGGATAGGCTGGTGCTCTACAAGTAATCTTGGTTTGTTTCTTAGCTCTGCCTGTGGTTTACAAAAGAAAGAGAAGCCACTAATATAACACAATTTCTAGGCTAAACTAAGTGCCTAGCCACCATACCAGTGATGTATTGACCAGAATGAAGTGAGTGCCCCAAAGAGATGTCATTGTAATGACCCTAGTTCTTATTCGATGTGTCTTAAATGAGCCCTGAGGATATTCTTTTCAGTTCTAGGGATCAAATCCTGACCCAGTGCTTTCTAGGCGAGGGCATACCACCGAGCTATCATGCCAGCTCAGTTCTTGAGGATTTTTAAACAACCTGTACCTTCCATGGATACTAAAACATCAAGCCAAAAACCTCACTGAGATCCAGGCAGTGGACTAAGCTCCTAGTGGGTGGGCCTGCAGGCCCTGACAGCTGGGAAGGTCTCTGAGCTTCTTAGAAGAGTCAGACAAATGGGATGGATCTGTGTAAAAGCAACTCTGGAGCTGATTAAGGGAGTGTTGGGGGACGTTCAGGAGCATTCATCCTTATCCAAAGACAGATCCATTTGGAGACTAGCTGGTCAGGAAGTGTGTAGGAGGATCAGTGAGCAGGAGGCATGTTCCTTTACCTTTGACCAGGTCTCTCCTATTTGAGAGGCTGATGGAAGGAATGGGATTTGCACAGAGGAGAGTAAAAGAGGTCCCATATAGGTTTCTGTTCCCATGGTCCATAAATCCTTATGCAGGTAAGTGAGGTTTGTTTATTAAAAAAAAAAAACCTTAGTCATGAAAAACAAATAAAATAATCAGCACCTGTGTTGGAAAAAGAGTAAAATTAACCTTCTGTGTCCTCCTTCCTGGCACACTTCCTAAGATTCAGTTCAACTGGTGTGAAAATTAAACCAATCCTAAGGTGGGAGTGGTTTCTTTTCAAGGATGAGAAAAGCTTGGAATCATTGCACAGGAGTGGGGAGGGGGGTGTTGGTCAAAGAGAACAAAGCCAGTTGGGCAGGAGGAGGAGATGCTGTGAGATCAATCACCAGTCTTAATAAAAGCTGGTGGTGCCTGTGACTTCCCTCTCTGCCGCCCTCACTAACTCTCCTTCCACTCCTGGAGATGAGAGTAGTGAAGAGCAGCATTTCCAGGGTTGCGGGTTTGTTATCTCCTGGCTCTGAGACTGGCCTCCAGAGGATCAGGGTGCTCCCACATAGTGCTTCTGTGGGTACCTGCTGGGCTGCTCAGAAACATCCATTTATTAACAGAGCCCCACTATTTTTAACATGTTCCAGGCCCTAGCACAAAACACAGATCTTAAAGAACGCTTACGCAGAATCCATGCCGAGTCTCTGCTCCTCGACTCGCCCGCTGTTGCCAAGCTGGGTGACAATCTGGCAGAGGTGGGTAGGTTTCTTGCCAGGTAATGTCTCTGCAACCCTCCCTTCGTGGGATGTCCTCTGTCCAGTCGCATGGCCTTCCTACTGCACCTCCTGAGTGGGCTGCCTCTCCACCACCAGCAGCTGCGGTCACAGCTGCCACATGGACTGGATTTTCGGGATGCAAAGCTTTCTTGAATGTATGCTGCTAAGCACATTTTTAAATTGTGTGTCCCCCAAATTCATTTTTCCTTCTGTATTTCTTCTTCTCATTTCCCTCCTAAGTATCACCCCTTTTGCTAGCTAGGTGTTAGGGGAGTGGGGGCTTTGGAGAGGTAAACGTTTTTCCTGTTGTGTCTGCAGAAAACTAAATTTCTTTGGCCCATAGCATGCCAGCTCCTTGACAACTTCCTTCTTTTGCTTGAAAAAGTTGCTGCTGTCCCCTCCTCCTCTTCCTGCAAAATTTCTTTCCTTTATGGAACACAGCAGCTATGTACTCTGAGGGAAAGAATATTGCATTACAATTGAAGTCTCTTGGTCAGAAAAAAGTACATTAAAAGTCTTTTCATTAGATTGGAGACTAATGAAAAGACTTAAAATAAAAAATAAGGAACATAATAGACAAAGGGTTCTGTGCATATGAATAAATTTTTCTTTCTTTTCTTTTTTTTTTTTTTTTTTTTTTTTTTTTGTACAGGGTATTGAACACAGTGGCATTTTACCACATCTCCAGTACTTTTTGTTTTTAAAGACGAGGTCTCATAAGTTGGTACAACTGGCTTCCAACTTGTGTTCCTCTGCCTCAGCCTCTTAAATCACCGGGATTATGTGCAGGCACCACCCCACCTGGCATAATTTTTTTAAAAATGTGTATCATAATCTTTCTTTTATCTTTTCCTGTCTTCAAAGAAAACAAAACCCTCACACAATTTCATTGTCCCATGGGCAGCTCTTGGATTGAGTGATGAGAAGAACAGAGGCTGAAACCCGTCAGGATAGAGACCACAAGGCCACAGTGTCTCCCTGACTGAAGCACATGCTGTGTCACTTGCTTGCAGGACCATTCATCTGACAAGAGGGCAACCCTCTGTGCAGAGGCTCATGGCTGAGGTGGAGAAATGGGATTCCTCTACAGACACACCACCCCCTCCAAAAGATCACTTTTCAGTTATTCCAGCCCAACTCTAAAGTGTTACCTGCAGGACTTAGCCCCTTAGTAGTACTTACACTGGTCTCCTTTTGTGGCCTGTTCCAAGACATGTGCTCACCAGGTGGGGCCTCCTCAAACCTGCCCATTCACTAAAGGCAACCTAGGCAAGGCTGCAATGGGCGTCACTGAGGGTCATTCATGCCAACACCAGGGCAATCGTGACTGTTCCTAAAGACAGCTTGTCTTTTCCATAGCATTATCATGTAAATTACATTTATACATTTAATAAATAGTTAAATAGATAACCTTCATTTATGTCTTCAAGATTTTATGCTCAGCATGTGTATTTGGGGCTATTTGTGTTTTGAGATGGAAATTCAAATCCCAAGTCTTTAAAAATCTGTATTTTTATACTAACATAAAAATCCATATGTTTATACTAATCTCAAAAATAAGATACCTGAAAACTTACATGTGGTTAAACTGTCCTTTTCAAACTCACACCTTCTGGATCAGCCTTCCGGAGTCTTGGCTCAGTGATGGAGTTGTCTCATTTATTTCCTGGTTTAGAGATTTTTCTTTTCCCATGAGTTGTCCTTTTATGCACACAGTGACTCAGGCTTACTTTGCCAGCAAGGGGAAAGCCATTGTTGCCTTCAGGAAATAAGCACTGGAGGAAGTAGAAATGAAAGTTTAACTCAGTTGATTTTTGTAGATAACTCTCAGACACCTCAAATACTCTGGAATGACAGCCCCCAACAGTGGGGGCGGCCCAAGGGGCTCAGATTTTAGGGTCTTTAATGTCTGTGCTTGCTTTCTGTTAGCAGCGCAACTTACCCATCTTTGATGTTGGATCTGACTACCTGAATTCTAAAATCCCTCTTTTCCTGTCAGAAATTATTTTCACAACCTATCGAGTCCCTCCTGTTTTAAATTCCTGAATGTGAAAATTTGATATTATTGGGTTATCAGTGCTAAGATGATTTTATATTATTTTATATCCCAAATGAAAGGCTGAATGACTTTTGGAGGTAACAGCCTTCTACGTACCCCTCACCCTTCTTCAGTTCTGGGGATTGAACTCAGGGCCACTCTACCACTGAGCTACATTCTCAGCCGTTTTTTATTTGATTTTGGGATAGGATTTCACTAAGTTCCTGAGGCTGGCCTTGAATTTGTGATCCCCGTGCTGCAGCCTCCCAAGTTGCTGAGATTATCTGTGTACACCGTGCCTTTCATATATCCTTTTGCATTTAAAGTGCAGTTATGAGACTAAAAAGGCAAAAACTTTTTTAAAAAGTCTGAAAGTGAAGAAGGAAACTGAATTATTTTAATTGCCTACCTGCTTGGTGCTGCACTGCAGGCACATTTAAATGCATCATATCCCAAAATCCTACCCTTGACTCTGATTTTAGAGATAAGGAAAATAAAGCCCAGAGAGGTTAAATAACTTTTCTGAGACACACAGATTTTAGAAACAAAGCTGGGATTTAAATCCCTATCTGATGGGGCTGGGGTTGTGACTCAGTGGTAGAGCACTCCCCTAGCATGGACGAGGTCCTAGGTTCGATCCTCAGCACTACATAGAAATTAGTTAATTAATTAAGCCAAAGCACGTTTGCGCTATAGCATCACACTGTCATATAATGAGGAAAGGTATGCCACACCGGAAAATAAATTAATCACTGAAGCTCCAGTATTTAAAATGAGATGGTGATGCTATAAGAATGGGACAGCATAACTCTCCCAGGCACAAACACTATTTTATATATAAAATAAATAAATGAGAAAGGGATTAAAAGCCAATGGAGAAGAGATAGATTACTTAATAAATTAGGTTAGTGCAGATCAAAGCAATTTGTGAAGAAGTTGAAGTCTTTACATTGCATGTTAAAATGAATTGCCAGCCAATTCAAGTTAAATATAAAAATTTAAACTGAAAAATATTGATTTGAATATTTATCAAACTACTAGATCAGGGATAATTTCCTAAATTGGGAAGTACTTTAAAAATTGCAAAAGTAATGTTGACTAGATTTGACTATTTCTTTTAGGAAAAAAATGGATTTTGTCAAAAAATAGAA